GTTCACTAATCAACTTATTCATAGACTTTTGGTTTGCAACAAGGAGGGATTTCGAAAGGTTGACAAGCGAGACCCATTGTCAAAAAACCCTAGAGCTGAAACTAGGACTGGTTGTGAGGCTCGACTTTATATTAAATTTGATGACGGTACTGGGAAATTTGTTGTGACTGATTTCAAAGAAAAATACAACCATGATCTTGTATCACCCGAGTGTGCCCACATGTTGCCGTCACAAAAAAAGATATCGACTACCCAAGCAATTCAGTTAGATTTGGCGGCACAATTTGGTCTTCGTTTAGGCCAGTCTTTTGAACTTATGGGTAGGGAAGCTAGTGGAAGACAATGTCTTGGGTTTACGAAATTAGATTCTAAAAATTATTTGAGAACCAAAGACAACAAAGTTTAGCATATAGGGAAGTAGGCAATGTGTTGCAATACTTTAAAGAAAAATCTTTGCAGAATCCTTCATTCTTTTATGTTTTTCAATTAGATAATGAGGAGCAAATAACCAATATGTTTTGGGCCGATGCACAAATGATCATGGATTATGCCCAATTTGGTGATGTTGTCACATTTGATACGACTTACAAGTTAAACAAAGAACATAGACCCTTTGCCTCTTTTGTGGGATTCAACCATCATAGGAAAACAGTTATATTTGGTGCAGCATTGTTGTATGATGAGACCGTCGAATCGTTTGTATGGTTGTTTGAAAATTTTCTAGAGGCTATGTCAAGAAAGGCACCAAAAACTTTGTTCACCAATCAAGATGCTACAATGGCTAAAGCCATACCCATCGTTATGCCTGACACAAGTCACCGATTATGTACTTGGCATTTAATGAAAAATGCATTAAAACACGTTAACTGTTTGTTCCAAGATAAGGGAGTGAAGGGTGTACTAAATAAATTCTTCTTTCACATCGAAGATGCAAATCAATGGAAGTTAGAGTGGGCGGAAATGCTTAATAAATATGATGCGCATGAAAACCATTGGTTGAAATTGACTTTTGCGGTGAAAGAAAAATGGGGCTAGCCTTACGTTAGGTCAATATGGGCTGCGGGAATGAGTACCACACAACTTAGTGAATCTTTTAATGCTTTTTTGAAGGATTACATTCGTTCTGATTTTAACTTAAATGAATTCTTCATGCATTTCGAAAGGGTACTTTATGAGAAGCGATACAAGGAGTTAGAAGCAGGATATGCTTTGTGCCAAAGGTTACCAAAGGTGAAAGCAACAATAAAAATGTTAATTCAAATGGGTAATGTCTACACAAAAAAGATCTTTGAGGAATTTCAAAATGAGTACTTTCAATCCATTGAATCGGACATAGAAGCAATTGAATACGGCGAGGCTAGTACCATTTACATAGTTGTTGATGTTGGTAACAAACATGCAAGGAAAGTGAAGATGGAGAGGGATGGCTCTTTGGGTTGTAATTGTACAAAGTTTGAAAAGAAAGGAATCTTGTGTTGTCACTCATTGAAGGTTATTAGAGACATATTGAAGATGAAAGAGGTTCCTCCACAATACATTCTAAAGAGGTGGACCAAACAAGCAAAAGCCGAAACTGTAAAGGACATTAAGGGGAATGACATTGAAGTAGATGTGAAATTTCAACAAGCCCCGTGGTATAAGACATTGATGACCGCATTTAGAGCACTAGCAAGTAGAGCTGCTGAAATTGAAGAAAATTATGATTTTTGTATTGCACACCTTGCTACATTAGGTGCAAATGTTGAAGGCAAGTTAAGTGCTCATTTTGGTGTTGGAAATGAAGTAGGTAATGATGATGACACCCAAAGCTTTGAAGTGGATTGCAAAGATATGAATCATGTTGTGCAACCAAAAGGATCGAAGAAAAATGTGGCAACTAGTAAGGGAAAAATGAGGGTCAAAGGTGGATTCGAAGCGGCGTTGGTCGCGAACTCCAAAAAAACATCTCGTGCTAACAGCTTGGCTTCGTCACAATCTATTGCAAGTTCAACAGTTGCACCTTCTCCATTATCTGTTGGAGGAGATATATATGTTCATCAACATGTTCCTCCTCTTCAACCTCTTCCTCCCCTTCATCCTCTTCCTTCATCTTTGCCCATGGGTGGTAATTATATTCCTCTGCCATTGATGTATCCCACATATCATGTAAGTCTTACTTTAACATTGTATTTTTTGTGTGGATATAATATGTGACTCAAACCATGACTGAAACCATAATTGCGAAGCCTAATATATGACATTGTTGTAGGCGAACAATTTGCGGGAGATGTATGTGGTGCCAAATTATTTGCCAACTTCAATGCCTCAACGGCATTCTGCTCAACCAACATTCCAGTCACTACTACAAGGTTCATGCGGATATGACATTGGGTTTCGATATTCTCAAGAATCAACTACTCCAATGTGTAGTCAAGTTCGTCGTTGATGTATTTTTAATTTATAGTTGCTGAAAATTCAAGGTTTTTAGTTGATGAAAATTCTGTGATATCATGTATTTACTTGCTAAAAATTCTGTCTTTTTTTTCAGGCTATGGACAAGCAGAAACAGAAGCAAACTGATGCTGAAATTGGCTGGAAAGTGAAGTCATGCCCTCTGAAATTGTGAAGCAAACTGCTGCCGGAAAGTGATGTGGAGGAAAGTGTGTTCAAATGTTAAATTATATGGACCAATGTGTTAAAATTACATAGACCAATGTGTCAATTTTGATGGACCAATGTTTTAATTTATATGTTAAACTTGTATTGGTTGATGTTCATTTACAGTTGATTTTAAGTTATATGTTAAACCCAAGTGAGTTGGTTGTTGTTCATGTTCATTTAACTTGTATTGGTGTCCATGTTGGTTGCTTGATGTTCATGTTCAGGACCCTTGTGTTGTTTGATATGCTGGTTCTGGTTCTGATGTTTGTTGATGTTCATGTTCATTTCACTTGGTGTCCATGGTGGTTGCTTGATGTTCATGTTCAAATTTAGGAAATTGGTATTGAACATGCTGTATTGAACATAACAGAATTCTGATTTTGTATGAATTCTGATTCTGCATGTATTCTAATTCTGCTGGTATTCTGGTTCTGATTCTGCATGTATTCTGGTTCTGGTTCTGTTGGTATTCTGGTTCTGGATCTGTTGGTATTATGATTCTGATTTTGCTGGTATTCCGGTTCTGGTTGTGTATGAATTTTGATTCTGCATGTATTCTGATTCTGCATGTATTCTGATTCTGATTCTACATGCATTCTGGTTCTGTATTGAACATACATGAATTTTGGTTTTGCTGGTATGCTTCTGATCTGGTATGAATTCCGGTAAAT